GCAGCTAGTGTGAGGCATGAGTTGACTATAATCGAGTACAAAAATCGAGTATTTGATTTGATTAGACTCGATTAGGGGTGACATTTCGAATCATAATCATGATTAGTCTTTTGCGATAAATCGATTAAATCATATAAGTTCAAAGAGACGGTCAAACCATGACATATGACCGGCAAATATTTCCCCTCCCATAAACCTGGCGAAGGTCAATTTTGGTAAGAAATTCTGTCTTAAAGGCCGAAGATATAATCCTGTAATCAATCAGAATAATCGAATAGGTATGATTTTATACCGTCAATCAATCATGAGTATGATTTGATGGGTCTGGAAGGGTGAGTTGACTCGATTAGAGGCGAAAAACCTAATCGATTGTAATCATGCCTCACACTAGCGGCAGCACCCGTGCTGTACCTAGCTAAAATTCAATATTATGATCTGATACTGATATACGACGTGCACAGTCTTGAGAATCCAAACTGGATAAAAAAAATCAAAATCATAATCCGGTTGCCAAATACAATTTGACCTCTGGAACATTTGGTTACGTAGATTTTGCTGAATCCGTTACCTAGTTTGTCTAAAGCATCATCTACCGTATCAAGGCTCTCGGTATTAGAGCTTGGATGAAAATCGCACACACATCTTTATCGACACGTGCAAAGAATTTGTAACCAACTCCAGTTCAATACTAATCGGCCAAGATCTGGTACGAGACATATTAGATAATATTTACATGCGATAGACGCCTTTGCAGATATATGGTACTGTCTTTAATCGAGGGGAAGAATCAACGAAAGAAAGCCAAGATAGTAGAAGTATCTATTTTACATAGAGAATCATATCTGGATGCTTTATTTGAACTCATCCCAATGCTCCCACCGGTTGTTATACTATATCTCTGTGAACAACATACGTCCAGATATGCACCCCAGCGAAGCCGTCTATCTATGGTGGCCGACACGATCGAATACAGCGCTGTCGGTAAAAAAAAAGAGGAACGCCAAACCTATCTCTTCACCACAAATTCATTGTTTCCAAACTCAGTCACCGTACTGTAGTCTGTAGAGAAGAAAGTATGACCAAATTAGTCACTCATACAAGTTTATTAAGGCCGAATGGAAATCCTTCACATTAAACACTCGATCTGCTTAATTAACTTCCATCCTAAAACTGGCTAATTGGCCCGTTGAACTTTGTAACTTCTACCAATACCGACCCCGTTATCCCTTTAACCATCCCCAGATTTAGTATAAAAAGTAACATAGAACAAAATACTGCAACGGTTTCTCAGCGGTCGGAAGAAATTCTCAATAATAGTCAGGAATACTAACTGTCTGTTACAGAAAACAATAAAAACCCTACGCTACGCTGTCAGAAATCAGTGGGGAGATAGTCCCGATTCTAACGATAAGTGGTATACCGATAAGCACCACTACACGCTAATTGTGCGAGGCAAGTGGGCCTGTAATTTTGGACCGCTAAGTGGTTCTTCGATCAAGTCAAGCACCGAACCTCGCATGGCACGAGAGCCATAAATCATCACAAGTCCTGGATAAAAGCAAAAACTGTAGAGGCCCTCAAATATAAGCCGACCAGGCCCTAGTGGAACCCTCTACCAAACTAACGAACCTTCATCTCATCATCATAATTTAATCGCTGTATATCACTCGATATCCGGAGATAGCAGCCTTGGTCATGTTAGTGCTGGAAAATACGCGCTGCTCGCGTATCTGCGAACACAGTATCTCAAATCATAGGATATCACTCGGCCAAGACACTCACAAGAATCGTTTCATCGTGTAACGGAGAGGAATTCGTGGATGATCTTTATTTCTTGTTCATGATTGAAACGGCAGAGGAGGAGAATTGCCGCTCTGCGGGCTCGGTGTCGACTTTTCATAACGAACCCCTGTATGAAGATTACATTCTATGAGGATAGGTAGAGCAGGAGCTTCACCATCTAGATTAGCACCACACCTTGCCTGTTGTAGGAAGCAATAAACACACGGGACGAGAAAAGTACCATTTACTAACCTCCCTGATATAATTTACTCATCTGCATTGATGCTATGCCATTATTATCATCGCAAAAATACCGATTTCTACACGTTCACGAGGTGTGGGTATATCTCTTAAGAGCCAAGGCGCGCTTTGAAGTCGTATGAGATCTCAACATAACCCACTCAAAATCACAAATATTCTAATCCTGAGAGATATTGTATCCGCTTTAATGGCTGACAAGCACTGTAATCCATATGGGGCATGTTTATAGAATGTTAAATACTTGGGATATATGATTACGCCACTGTTAGCTGTAATGGTATATACTTTACCGCCCGAACGGGTATTTTTTTAAGCCTGATATTAGGCTTAAAAAAGCAATATATCAGCCTTTTTCGATAATTCGGCCTTATTTCTTTTTACAGTCCTTATTAGACTATGGTTTCGTTAAGCCTTAGATATTTTCAAGCTTACAAAATTTGATCAGTCTTATTTAAAGTATATTTGAAAAATAAGACTTAATAATATTTTTTCGTGAGATCAGCATGATGGCCTAGTAGGTATGTTTTCACACTTATTTGCTATAGAGAATTTCAGAAATGAAGTTTTTATTAATACTAAATTACTATGTACATCGATTAAGACAATCTATTTAACCATCTGCCTGCCTGCCTGCCTGCCTGCCTGCCTACCTCCACGCCTACATACTAATTAGGTGCTGATTTGACGTCAATTTTGTAATAATTTGCTGTCGATTTGGGCGTCGATTTGCTGCTGATTTGGTGCAATTAGTCGACGATTTGGTGTGGATTTGGTGTTTAGCTACGTACCTGCTTGATTCGCTGCTTGACTCGCTGCCCGACTCGCTGCCCGACTCGCTGCCTGATTCGCTGCTTGGTTCGCTGATTAGCCCATGTTTTGGTGAGGATAACGGGGGGTAGAAGGATAGAGGGGGCCGAGATGATAGAGAGATAGGGAGGTATGTACAGAGGGTAAGTAGGCTGGTATTAAAGAACAGATAGAAGGACATGGTTTAATATTTGCCAAGTGCCTAACCCTAACCCAGTCTTACTCTCAGTAGATGCCTTAGTAGAGCGTGATACATAGCTAAACCTGACGAATTTTCCTAATTCTTATTTATTTGGTAATTCTAGTATTAAAAAGGGTCTTAAAACAGGCTCATTTGGAGATAAGCTTGAGCAAATGTCATGCTTTTGCTCCAAACAGGCTTATTTAATGCTTTTTTGTGACATTAGCCTTATTTTGGGCTTTTCTACGCCTTAGAGCTCAAAATAAGGCTTATAAAAATACCCGTTCGAGTGGTAATGTACTTACTCGTATTATTCTGAAACCTTTCAAGACACTGTGACGAGTGACCTATCTCGTAAGCTCTACCACGCCAGGAAATGCATCACAAATGTATCACATAATGTATTATGAAATGCATCCTCTGTACCGGGTCGGCTTTGTATATGGTGCGTGTGGATATGCATCGGCGAATGCATCGGCATATGCATCCAAAAATGAATCAGCATATGCATCATAAATGCATCGGCATATGCATCCCAGTCCCATTTGACGATTTTCCGATGGCCTTCCGATGCAAATGTATCAGGAAAGAGATCTGTAAAGGGATCAGTAAATGTGTACACAGATGTTCCAGGACCAAAAAAACCGTTATGTAAGGGAATTGAACGTGCGTTCTTCCGCTGAGAAATCGAACATTTTGCCAGCTGGACCATCAATTAATATAGTAATGACATGATAATAGCTCTTATCAAGCGAGTCTAGGCTATTTTAAAGGAAGAATTTAACTAAGTTCGAAATCGGGACCAATTTCCGTAGCAATTTCCCGACGACTTGCTGCACCGAAGACTTCCTCCACCGATGACTTGTTGCACCAGTTTCCCGACTTTCCCGACGACTTTCCCTGCTAGTAAATTGACATTAGCTCGAGGTGCGGCAGCCTTATCTACCGCGTGCCCCATAGCCATCTCCGGTACTAACACTGAGAGTCGTTGATAAAGTCGTTGATAAAATCGTTGGTAAAGTTGTAGGTATAGTCGTCACCAGGGTGTATTCAAGTTGCCCATTCAAGTTTCCCATACGATTATCCCTACACCTTTCGTTGCCAATATCATTTAGTTTTCTAAGGACGGTATTTCCTAGCAGGGGAAGACGTCGGGAAAGTCGTTGGGAAACTGGTGCAACAAGTCGTCAGGCAATGCATCGATAATGTGTCAAATGATGTATTTCCTCGCGTGGTAGAGCCTGGGGACGACTATATCTACAACTTTACCAACGACTTTCACTACAGTAGTGCCGCAACTAGGAAAGTAATCAATAAATGAATCAAATGTATCGTTAATGAATCGGTAAAAGTATCATGTGCAGCGCTCAGCAGAGCCCTCGACAGGTAATGCATCAAGGGATGCATTATCACGCTCGGTTTTGTATGGGCAATGTGTCGATAATGCATCAAATGATGCATTTCCTGGCGTGGTAGAGCCAGCTTACCATGGCCACAAATACGTACTTGCCTTGGCCGCCAAGTACCATTTAATTCAACAGCCCAATAAGAGCCCTTCCCAGGTTCTGCGGTACTCTACAGCGGCAAAGTGAATGGGCAAAGTGAATGGAGGAGATCCGGCAGTCCAACATGTATGTACCTACGTCATCCGACCTGGGACTCGTCTCCCCGCACAACAACTTGTTAGATATCTCAACGTCGCAACACCGAACCATCATCGACAACAACAACATCAACATCAACAACATCAACAACAACACGAGACAGCTCAGCCTCCACCAGAAACATCCACCATCAGATAAACCCAACATCCAGCTGCACACACACAGCAGTCCAGTCCAGTCATGAATCTGATCTATGCCACGGTCGCGACAACGCTGCTGGTCATCCGTGCCATCTCCAGGAAGTCCCTAACGACGAGCGGGGTCATCGCTGCAATCTTCACAGCAGCCGTCCACGCGCTGCACCCATGGAACCTCCCCTTCACGCTCCTCCTCGTCTTCTACGGCCTCGGCACAGCAGCAACAAAGGTCAAGCACGACATCAAAGCCAAGCTCACTCTCTCCAGCTCCGGCACCCCGGGGGTGAGGGCGCCCGAAACCACGTCCAGGTAATCCCCACTCCCCCACACCCACCCAGACCCCAATAGCCCATACTAACCCCCTCCCACATAGGTCTTTGCAAACAGCATCGTCGCCTCCATCCTCATCCTCCTCCACACCGCACAACTCTACGACCTCAACCTCAACACAATCACCACACGCACCACCCCCTCCTCCCCCCTCTTCTCTCCCGCCCACGGCGCCTGCTTCGACAACACCCCCGAAAACCTCCTCGCAATCGGCATCATCGCAAACTACGCCGCAACCCTCTCCGACACGCTCTCCTCCGAGCTCGGCATCCTCGCGTCCTCCCCGCCCCGCCTCATCACAACATGGAACGTCACGCCAAAGGGCACCAACGGCGGCATCACCCTCGCCGGCATCACCGCCGGCGCCGCGGGCGCAGCAATCATCGGCCTCGTCGCGGCGGTCATGTTGCCTGCCTGTGAGGGGTCTGAGGCGGCGTGGGGGCTATGGGAGAAGGTGTGGCTGGTGGCGTTCGTGACGGTGGTTGGGACGGTGGGGTCGCTGCTGGACTCGCTGCTTGGCGCGCTGTTCCAGCAGTCTGTGATCGATGTGCGGAGTAAGAAGATTGTGGAGGCGCCGAACGGCGCGAAGGTGCTTGTTGAGCCGGCGACGCATATCACTGCGCAGGGGAGGCTGCACTCGGCGGTTGGGGGCGCGCCGCAGTCGGCGGCGGGGGCGGTGCCGGTGCATGGGGCGGAGGGGGTGAGGAAGCGGGGTGGTGGGGGTGGGGGCGCGGAGGAGGAGGAGGCGGTGGTGGAGGTGGGGGAGAGGCCGAATAGTCGTAGGGTCATCACGGCGCAGAGGTGGGGCGTGTTGAGTAATAATCAGGTTAATTTGGTGATGGCGGCGGTGATGAGTGTGGTGGCTATGGTGCTGTGGGGTGGGTTGGGGACGGTTGGGGTTGTTTTGGCGGAGCAGGCGAAGACGGTGGTGAGGACGGTGGTGAAGCAGGAGATTATTGGGGCGGTTGTGGGTGCTTTGTTGGCGCCGATTTTGGGGTAGGGGTAGGGGGTGGGGTGGGGGTGGGGGTGGGGGTGGGGGTGGGGGTAGAGGGTGCTATAATACCGTGTTGTGTCGTGCTTTGTTGGGGTGGGAAGTCTAGGGTTTTATTTACCGTACCATTCGGCCTTGCTTCTCTTCCTATCCTCCCCTCCCCTTCGGTTCCTTCTTTTCTTTTCCTATGTTAGCACATGACGAATAACGATAAAGTACTTTGGCGTATATATCAAACCCCATTGCCGGCAGAAAAACCTAATAAACCTGCCGAGAACTGCTAATAAATACATGTATGCCCCAATATCAGCTAACCCAAGTGAAGTACGAGCGTGCAAAACTTTAAATCCAATCATGATATATCACTCACCAATCAGGCCAGAGTGCTAATAATCCTAATAACACCTTTGCCAAGCCCCGCTAGTAAGAGTCAGTCATCTATACTTGACTGCGGGAAGCAGTAAAAAAATAATCGTTAGGGTGGGCTCAAATAAGGCAAATATCGCCGTTTTGGGAGTATATCGCTTATCCCAATTCCAAGTCTCTAACACCGAACTCCCGGGCCAGCGATTAAACACTATTGATTTCTCATACTTACCTAAAACTCATTTAATTTAAGGCTTATTTAAGACTTATTTGATTTAAGGCTTATGTAAGCCTTGTTCAATTTTAGGCTGATTCAATCTTAAGACTTACTCTAAGTTTAAGACAAAACGAAAAGGGGAGAGATTAAACCCAGAGCATTGCAGGTATACTATACCCCAATCTCTCAATCTACATATTAAGCTATGGGAGAATTAGGATTTTGATATTAGAACTATTATATAGCTAAAATAATCGATAAAATTCGAATTTATAAGCCTTAAATAAGCCTTAAATAAGTCTAATCTACCAGAGAGTCTTGATTCTTTAACGTCAGAACGGGTATTTCTATAAGCCTATAAACAGTCTAAAGTAAACCTACTAGTATAAAAAGCATTATGTCTCAAATAAGACTTAGTCGTCCGTTCAGGCTCTTATAAGCGTATTATTTTTTTAAAATTTATTGATACTACAAAGGCTTATGATACCTTATAAGGCTTAATTTGACATTATATACATCGATGGCTGCCCACCTTCCCCACCGCCTTCCCCCCGGGCCCCTCCGCGCCGCTTACCTAGTACCTACCTACTTACCTACCTACCTAGTACCTACCTGCCAGCCTGCCTATGCCTGCCTATACCTACCTAGTATGCCTACCTATGCCTACCTACGCATACCTGCATATCTCTGCACCTACCTGCCTGCCCATTAACTTCAATTGGTTGAATTCAAGTTTGATGCTCAATTTGGTATTGTATTTGGTGTTGTATTTGGCGCAAGATTTGCTGCTGCTGCTGTATTAATCGCTGTTCAATTCGTCGATCAACGCTCACTTTGATGATAACGGTGATAGTGTGGGAAAAAAGGGAGAGGGGGGTAGATGGTACAAAGATAATAGAAGTGATGGAGATGAGTAGGTGTAGACGGCTTGATATTTGCGAAGTGCCTACTTTTAACCCTAACCAACGAAACATTATGAATTTATATAATTGTTAGCGAATCAGTAATATTAATTCTACAAATGGTTTTAAATAAGCCTTATTCGTAGCTAGTCCTGGCCGACGGTCACACTTATGCCCAAAACAGCCCAAATTTAGACTTATTTGAGACATACTAGTAAAGTCTAAATAAAACTTTCCATCTACCTCTCAACCTTATAGAAATACTACCTGTTCTGACGATAATGTTGATGAAAAAGACAGATCTGGTATAAAGACTTATTTAAGAATTATCTGGGTATAATGTATATGTATAGCTAAAGGCATATATATGCCTTATTCTGGAGAGAGTCTTAGAAAAAAAAGGGCCTCATACTAAAATAATGCTAAAATCACCAAAAAACGCTTATATATACCTTTTTCCCGTTGCCACAGTCAAGTAGTATGTGGGTCCTGCCAAGGCTGCCGGTTCGGGTTCGGGTTCGGGTCAGGGTTGCAATAGTTATGCAGGCGCACAACACCTCTTGTTGTATTCTAGTACTGAAGCGCCTTATTATGCGAATACCAAGTTCCGTGTTCAAAATTGAAATATCCGTGCCAATACTGGGGCGAGGGAAAGACGATCATGGGTATGGCTTTAAGTCGGATTTTGACAGCGCGCTCAATACTCACGCGTGAATTTGAATATTAGAGTTCTGTGTATGTACTCGCGCGTCTTCGCCAAGAATTTTCACCTGACTCGGTGAAGAAAGGGATTTTGGTGTTTCAATTGGTCAAATGCCTTGATCTCTCAGTCACGTTAAAATCCTTGGCGAAGACGCACGAGTACGTGTGGCGGTTGCGGAGGCTTCCGATCGGCGTTTCGATTAACGGATGAGCAACTGAATAGGCGGTTAATTGGTCTGTAAGATGGTGCTTGCATATAAGACCTAGCTTAGTGGTTGCTTACTAGATAGATCACTCGCTACAGTGTCTTGAAAGGTTTGGGAAGAATGTGAGTAAGGGCCCGTTCGGACAACCCAATAATCTAGATTATTGGCGATAATCTGACGGATTATCGACTTTTGGATTATCACAATAATCTATGCTGTTCGTGCAATTGAATAATCCAACATTCGGAACTCCTGATTATCCAATAATCCGCCAAGAAAACAATCACCTTCGGAGGTAATTATTCCCACACAACACAGATATCCTGAGAGTGTAACGGCAATATTACCGGTCGGTTAGAATGATTGATTGGATCGTGAAGAGAAGGTATTGTGCAGTTGAGTTAGGATTTGTAATGGGGTTTCTGTTATGTTCTTTTAGTTTCCGTTACGCGAGGTATGAGTCATCAACGGACTGGAGGCTGGATATATAAGGGAGTGTTGTCTCGTGCCTTTTCATGTTTTCCTTCCTTTCCTCTTCTCTTCACGGAACTTCTTGTATGTACTCCACGAATACTACTTTGTTCTACGTCTCGTCATAGGGCTCAACTAGTTAGTCATACTAGGCAGAGCCACTCCATAGTCCATAGTCTCGAATACCTATTGCTACGTCTTCGCCTCGGTTGTATTCCTTGGCATCATAGTCCCTACGTCCATAGACCCCCGTTACAGAGAGCTAACGTTATCCGGACATGTAGATTATCCACTTATTATGAGTATTATGATTATCACTTCCGCTACCTGATAATCCAGTCTGTCCAATAACCCGAAGAAATAATCTAAGGTTGTCCGAACGGGCCCTAAGTGTACTATTCCAGTTAATAATAGCGGAATCATGTCCCAAGTATTTAGTACCCTATGAATATGCATCGTATGGACATTTGCGTGTCAACCTTTAGAGCGGATACGATATGCCTACAGCTCGCCTCTCCTTATTCTTAGGCGGCCAGCCAAAATCGAAATCGTGACCAAACCAGATATGGCTGGGTGTGCTCAGTTGAACGCAATCACTGTTCATTCTCCTCTCTGTCTCTAGTGGAGCAGGTGGAGATTTCTAGCGTGTGAGAAGAAACTCGGGAACAGGATAAATAGGAACTGTGTTCAACCAACCATACCCGGATATATCCGGTTCGGTCACACCACCTCAGGGATAGAATGTTCTCCTCACACGGTGGTTTAGGAAAGGTCGGTATATACCAAGCTCGCCTACGAAACGAAAGTTCTTCTCTGCCGCTTTAATCGTTAAGAGAAGACGAAAGTTATCTTTGAATGTGTTTTTCCATGATGAGTTAATAGAGCTAGAGAGAAACTGGGGAAATCACCCCCCTGTTTTTTTGCTCCAGTGTCTTGACCGAGTGATATCTCATGATTAACGATATTATACTCGAAATTACACAAGCATTGGGACATGCTGTGGCTTCTACGTGAAAATGGATAGTGCATAGATATATGGTTGACAACGTAGGGATAAATGAAACCTCTCAGGCTTTCTGCGAACGCATCCAGTGTTCACGGCAATTGACTATCATCGCGTACTCTACCAGCGCAAATAATGCATCCATCGATGCATTACCCATACAAACGGCACGCGTTAATGCATCACTTGATGCATTTATCCGTCGCGGGCTCTGTAAACTCGTCCAATTGATGCATTGTCCAACGCCTTTACCGATGACTTACACCACTTTCCGTAGCAGTAACTTGTAACTTCCCTTTACGTCGCACTGTTTTGCTGTAGCGACTTTGCCGACGACTTTCTTGATGCATATGCCTTAACCACGCACAGCCGAAACGAGTACGCCAACGAATATGTAGCCGCGCCAGTGTAGCTTTTAATATTACCCGCGTTGCACGCCCTACGACTTTGCCAACGAGTTAGCCAACAACTTTGCACGGCGACTGTTGCCGCTCTGCCCCCCTCTACGACTTTGTGCCGCGACCAAGTTTCTATGGGAACGACTTTACCGCCACTCACCTACTAGCGCTGTACGACATTCCCAACGACATTACTGATGCATTAACCGCGGAGCACGAACAGCTGGAACGATATTGCCTACAAGTTTGCCCACCTTCTATCAGCGCTCTCCGTTACTCAGGAAATAACTTTGCCGACGAGTTTACCTACGACTTTACTGATACTCTAGCCGTTCCCTGCTTTCTGTGTCAACGATTATGCCAACAACTAAACCCACCGACTCGTATCATATATGTGCGTGAACGAATATACCGACGATTATACCGACGAGATTTCCCTCCGCCCTTTTGCAGCACGATACATTTGCCAACGACTTTGTTGATACATTTCCCGGTAGACTTCACCTATCATTCAAACTGTTGACGTTATTCCATGCACTTCTACATCTGCATTGTGCGTCGGTGCAACGAATATGTCTACGAATTTACCTACGAGTTGGTATACGATATTGCCATTACCACAAACCATCAACATCTTTACTGACTATTATACCGACAACATTACCGATACTTTATCCCCCAAACAATTCGGCCATCTACGAGTATCCTGATGCAATTGCCGATGATATCAACAACACATTAACCTTTCCCTCAATAACAGCAACGACTTTACTGATGCTTTAACCAACGGTATATCCGATGACTTTCTCAAAACGTTTTACATTAATGAATACAGTCGATCATACATTTACATACACCATCACCAACAACATTAACTGAACGTTGATTTGCTTTTCAACAGGTTGAACGACTTTACCAACCACAATTCAGACGATATTGCTGATACATTTCCTTTGCGGCTCAATCATATGAACGATTTTACAGACAACTTTACTGATACATTGTTTTTTTCATTCGATAGAGTGAATGACTTTACCGACGACAATACCGATGATATTGCCGATACATTTCCTTTACGGCTCAATCATGTGAACGATTTTACAGATAACATTACTGATGCATTGCCCAACGGACTTCTTCTAGCTTTCTCGAAAAAACACTCAGTAATCAATCAACAAGTTTCTGAACGATTATGCCGACGACTTTATCAACGAGTTTCTAATGAAGAAGAAAAAACCCATAGCAATAAGACGGTCACTTTACCGACAACTTTACCAACAATTTTACTGACTACGTTTATTATTCGCCTCTCTAACATTTGTTCTCTTGGAACCTCGATGATTAAGTCTACGATTTTACCAACACATTTGCCAACAATATTGCATGCTACTGTCTTTGCCATTGCTACTAGTTTTAGAATCAAATCTAACTTTTTTTCGTAGGAACGATATTCATGATCCCTTTACCGACAAATTCGATGACACATTTTCCAACAAATCCCGCACCACCTGCTTTAGTAAAACCCTTCATAGCATACTTGTTAGCAACCCTACAATTATAATATCTTCCAACCGTTGTTTACCCGATCCGGAATAGTCTCCAATATTAGCCACATATAAACCTCCATACCTGCATATACAACACTTGCGTATTACCCATAACAACAACAACAACCAACACCTTCACATCTTGAACGGCGTCTCTGGAACCACGCTCTCTTCATTATTGGCATGCCTATTCATCGCCGCAAGCTTCACCTTCTTCTGCGCATTACTTAGTCTTCCAGGAGCACCCCTCTTCGCTGGAGTCAGCTGCCCATCACCCTCAGTGGCCGCAGCTTGGTTAATCAGCATCTTTGCCCTCTGAAAGCTAGTGCTTGCCCCTGGCACAGCCCTCGGCCGGGGCATCAGTTCCGGATGTCCAAGAAGCTTGCGGTAGCTCATTGGTTCAACATTATCAGACCCCATTAAGGGGGCGTAGCCCATAACCGGAACAAGTGAAGGGAGTTTGAGATCGGAGTTCAAATCAAGCACCTTACCCACAGGAACCTCTACGATCTCCTCGCCCGCCATCGGCTGTGTAGAGCTCATGGCTCCATGAAGATGGGGATACCTGCTCCTCGACGCAAGTCTACGGGTCGGCTGTGCACTTGTAGACGCTGGAACCTGGTAACTCGGAGTGTCCCATTCCATGTGCGGAACCTGGGAGTGCTGGGGCACCATGGGCGAGAGCCTTCCAACATTCTTTCTCGCCTTCAAAGAGCCCATGTAGCTATTCATGGGGGGAGGCCCCATCCTACGAGGCGGGGTGGAAATGGGGTCAGCAAAAACATCGTCAAGACCCGACAGCCGTGAAATGTCAAATCCATCCTCTTTTATATAGTCTGGGTTTGAGTAAACATCCTGGGCAGCAGACGTGGCGGTGCAGTACTTGTGAATGACTCTGAGTTGTTAGGCTGTGTGGGCATGAATGAAGACTGTGTCGAGTTCTGTGTGAACACAGATGACCGGGGCTGTGCACATAGGGGCATAGGCTCTGGTGCGTTCTGCTGGGTGGCTACACGAAGCAGTGGCTGTCCACAAGATGGCGGCGGCACCTGTGAAGAGCTCATGTCCTCCCATGGACGAACAGGCAAATAGGTATCATCACATTCACCGGTAGTAGTAGAGCTTCTAACCTCATCTGACTGGTTCTGGTTCATGACACCACTCATACTATCACCGATACGTGTCAGTACTGTCTGATAATATACGTGTTATCTTGAGTTGGGAGGGGATAAATACATCTCTTTCTGTATCGCATCTTGACTCCGAGTTCTCATTGTACTTTTCTTTGCCTTCTCCTTGGCCGGTGTCTTCTCTTTAACAGTCCCGGCTACCTTGCGAACATATGTCCTCTTGGGCTTCTCGGTCTCGCTCTTCTTCTTATTCAGCGAACCCTTGGGTCTTCCAGGTCCCCGTTTCTTTGGAGGCTCGGGCTCAACCCCAACCTCTTTGTCACTAAGCACTGCCTCTGTAGTCGTGACATCAGAAGCATTGGTGCGTTGAGACCCCGTACGAGCTGCTCGTGTACGAATGGCATTATTGTTCCCGACCTCTTTCTCTTTAGTCACAGAAGAATCAAAGCTAACCCTTCTAGTAGTAGGTATCAGTGGAACTGTTGAGGCCAGTACTGATGGCTGTGGTGGTGGTGGTGGTGGTGGTGGTGGTGGTGGCTTTGAATAGAAACTGGCATCATCATCATCATCATGGAAGTCAGCATCAGAATGCTCCCACATGGTTGGGGCCTCGTTATTCTCCTTGACCCTGGTCAGGAACTGATGGTATCGCTTTTCGTCATCCAACAGTATCTGCTGTTTTCCCTTACCTGGGAAGCGGTACCATACATCCTTCCCCTTCCATCTCTTGCGGAACTCTTCATAGTCGAGTGTGAATTGGTAATGGACGTGCTTTTTGTCCACCAGTACGGAGTAAATCTCAAGCGTCTTGACACCATAGGGGCAGCAGCGGAAGGAGGTTTTGGAGGTGGCAACATCACTTGCTTTCTTGGTAAGTTCAGACGATGTACAAGGTTATGTGCCGACGGGGACAGCGGTGCGGCATCATCATCCACACGGGGAGCACCGATAGTCATAACATTGGCAGGAACTCGCTCAAGTTGAGGTGCAGCAGCAGGTTGAGCCACGGAAACTGCAGCCCCAACAGGGATGGGTGGCCTAGCTGACACCGGCACCCCCACCGAAGATGTTGCGGCCTTAGTCACTGTGCCCACGCTAATTGAACCTTCAGCGGAGACATAAGAAGAAGAAGAGGTATCATCATCCTCTGCTGTAACACAGTCCTGGACCATTGGTTTCTTGCGTGGAGGCTTGCGGTGTACCGGTGGAGCTTCGTCAACTGTCTCCTTGTTGGCAGAACGTTTACCGGTGCTTGATGTCTTCTGTATGCTTGCTGCTGTTGCTGTAGCCCGCTGAGGGGCAATAGGTGCAGGAACCGCTGCCCTCGGTGCTTGTCTTGCTGGGGCAGCGGCAGGGCCAGATGCTTCCCTTGGTTCTGCTGTATCTATAGGGACAGCAGGCACATTTCTCGCAGTGGCTCTCTGTGCTGCTGTTCTCCGCCTGCCAACATAGTGGCCGGTGGTGGGAGGTCTTCCCTTCCTCACCGCACCACCGGCGAGGGTAATGTCTTTATTTTTTCTTCTGTTTTTATTACGTTCTTGTTGTTGGTCAGAGAGATTATGATTGCGAGACAGACGGAGTCACTATAGTTATACTTGGCAAGAGCGTTTCTGACTTTGTCGATGAGGTATTGGCGTGTTGCCTTACTTCGGACCGACTTCCACGCCGACCCAATAATAAACTGTACAGGCTTTGCAGCCAGTGCATCAGCAGCCATCTTTCTCCTTTTATTATATTCTTCCCGGTCTTCTTTATATGATCGAAAACCCATTTGTTCGATCAATGGGGCTTTGTTAGCAGTATCGAGGAGGTCCTCGATGGCCTTCTCGTCGTGGAGTGGAAAGTCCCCGATGGCTGACCCCTCGCTATCAGACCCGCTTGTGTCTTCAACAAGCCTCTCGCCAAATGACTGGCTCTTCTGCTGCTGCTGCTGCTTACTCTTTTCGTGCTGCCGCTCTCTCTCCTGCCTCTGCTGTTCCTCACGTCTCTTAATCTCCTTTTGCTCCTTCCATTGCTTGAATTCTTCCATGTCTAGCATTGTGTTTGGAGCAATAGGCTCTGTGATGTCTGCCATATTCCGCTGCATCTGTACCATCATGTCCATCAGTATATAACCATCTACCATTTACATGTAGCTGTCTTGATACAGATGCTCACCTTTGATAAACAGTGTGGTGTAATAGAAAAAAGGGACAGATAGATGTTTCTACGGTGGAATGGAGAGAAGATGGAGAAGGATATGTCCATACTATCTACCCCCACCCACCCTGGCTCATGCAATATGGCTCACCCGTAGATGTCGATCTGGCCTTCCACTCCGCCTATCGTGCATCCAAGATCTCACGTCCCGCCAATCTACCCCACCATCAACGTGTCATGTATTCTACATATTCACTTTATACTTATAAAAAAAAATTATACACACCAATCACGATTATGGCGGATGCAGCAAACCCAGCACCATGGGCACCGAGAGAGAGACGACTCTGCCACTGTGGGATGTACAGAGGAGTACCCCACCTTGTGACAAAAACCATCTGGTACAGACACAGGCAGCGGCAGGCATGGCTTGAGCGGCAAGCCACCCAGGAGGATATTCCGCCAGTAGATTTGGACTGGGAAGTAGTAAGTACATGTGGTCAAGGTGCATTTTCTACCTACATAATCCTGACCCTATACAGATTGATGCCTCCTATCCCGAGAGTGAGCCCATGCCATCAGGAACCCCCGTCTTTAATGATCAGGTATATGCGATACAACACATGTATAGTATGGTAGCTCAACCCACAACTCGATTAACTCTGTTCTGGTATAGGAAAACAGCCCAGAGCCAGCGGAGGCTACACCGGTCTTTGAGGATGCCTTATTTATAGAAGCTTCACCTGTGTTTCACGATCCCGGACGTATGGATTCACAGGATCCTTTTACAAACTACAACCTACAGCCCCGCCTCGGGCATGTGCAGCAGCAGGTACAGGTCCATGCCTCTCAAGAGCATCAACCTGAGCAGTCACCAAGCCAGGAAACTGTGAGAGGAGAGTCTGTTGTACCAGAGTCGGTGGTCTCAGAGAGAGAAGATACAATCAGTACATTGAACCACAGCTTCCACCACTCCACGGTTGGGCAAGAGGAGGGGCATGTGCCTTTAGATGAGGAGGCACCGCTGTTCCGTCAACGGACAGAATCGACTCAGTATGACCTAAACATGGCATACATCACCCCGGTTCCTACCAATACGGCAGGCCAGAAGGAGAATGATAATCCTAGCTCCTCTAGCAGCAGCGAGTCCAGTGCTCATGATATTCCTGATAACTCACCTCCTCCATCCATTCATGGCGATGTTGATGCTGATATAGATGCTGATAGAGATGACGACGTTGATGCACCCAGTGAGACTGATAATGAGATTGACGAGCGTATCCAGAGCCCAAGCTATTCCAATCCATACTATGAGGATGTCGAGGATGTCGAGGATGTGCCCAGCTCTGAGGACCCAGAGAGCAGTGGAGCAGAAGACGGTGTTGAGGATAACGATGACGATGACGATGACGATGACGAGGGCCCAGAAGTGCTGACAGAGTTCCCATACAGCATGATTCCGAACGTTGTTCTGGAACCTGCAATGATGAGACACCTCCGGCTGATGAAGGTCAGGATGGAAGGGAACGTGGCTCAGGACATACACATGAGGTACATCCAAGCTGTCCAGGCCTTTGACAACTCCGAGGTCTCAGTGACAGACGAGGCAACAGCGAAGAGAGAGCTCGGTGTGATTACAGAGATATACCACGTTCGGTATGACGTGTGTCGAAACAATTGCATCTGCTACGTTGCCTTTCCAAGGGCTGACAGATGCCACATATGCAATGCAGAAAGAAGGGATAGCAATGGAAAACCGTACCGTACGTTTGACTATATACCCCTAATCCACAGACTGCTGCTACTCTATACAGACACTGCGTACGTAAAGATTACGATGGAGTACAAGGAGTCTTTTGCAAACCAGGAGACGCCACAGAGCTCAGTGCGGGACTACTGGGATAGTCTTTTGTTCAAAATGGTCAAGAATAATAGAGGCTTGTGGACCGATAGCAGAGACGTCGGGTTCATATTCAGCACAGACGGCTTCTCCCTATTTAAGGCACACGCCTCTACTGCTGCCTCTTTTCAATTGAATCCATAGCTGACTCATGTGTTACAAATAATCAATAGATTGGGCAGTACGATGTCTGGCCCCTGCTGCTAATCAACTGCAACCTGCCGCCGTCTGAGAGGGTCCTGAAAAAAAACCTAATTCTGTGCGGCATAATACCAGGGCCTGGCAATCCCAAGGACCTGGGGTCCTTCTTGAAGCCAATGATTGATGAATTCCTCACACTGCAGGTGGGGGTAAAGGCTTGGGACGGGCTGCGAAAGGAGAGATTTATACTGCGCGCTAACATAGCCCTAGTGGCAGGAGATACGGTTGCAATGGCCAAATTGATGAAATGGACTGGTCCTAATAGCTTTCGGTACTGTCGCTTCTGTGCCATCTATGGTATCAGCGAGGGACACATATATTGTCCTCTGGAACCCCCACGTGACCGTAAGGACGCTCTGGGGGGGGAGGCTAGGCGCAAGGGGAGTAGGGTTCCAAAGAGGAATGCAAATTTCCCCGAAAAGTCGTGGGATGCAGAGAATCTCCCGATTTGGACCGACGCACAAGTGCGCGAAAACCAGAAAACGGTGGAGGAGACAATGGACCTGCAATGGGGCAAGATGATGGGGACCAATGGAGAGCCTGTCTTTAGCTCCCTCGTGTCGGTGGTGTACCCTTGGACGTTCACGCCGGACGTTATGCATCTGGTTGATGAAAACACGCCTAGGTTATACCTGGCGCAATGGATGGGGGTGTTCCGGGACAGGGAACTAGCGCTCCGCGCAAAGATGGCCCAGGCCGAGTTGATGCTTCGCAGGTTGGATCATCGCATGCCCAATCCGAGGGCATGAGCCAGTCACAAGTGGAGGTGCAGCAAGAGTCTCAATTTGATAGCCAGACAAACACACAGCAGGGTGGCTCTCAGAGCCAGACCCAGGGTGAGCGGAGGAAACGTCGCAAGGGCAGGCGGGGGTTAGCTTTAATGCTGATATAGAAGAGGACTACGTGGAGGATGCGTTTATCTTACCCAAAAGAATGTGGGACAGGATTGGGGAGGAAATTGCGGGCTCAAGGGCGTCGATACCAAGTGCGTTTGGCAAGGCATTCCGGGATATCAAGTACCACGCAAGCTACAAGGCTACAGAGCTGATGAACTTCATGCATCTGATATCCCCCATTGTGCTCAACCAACGGCTGCCTGCCGAGTACTATAGCCACTGCACCACTTTGTACTAGCCAGCGAGAAGGCCCGGCGGTACCAGCTGAGCATGGAGGACGTCGCTGAGATGGAGCGAGACATGGTTCAGGTTGTGACGGGGTATGAGCGTCTATACTATCAGTACAAGCTCTCCAAGATCCGTGGCTGCACCACGCAGGTGCATGGGCTGCTGCACCTGGGCATGGCCATGAAGGTCTGCGGCCCGAATCCGATATACCACCAGTACCCAATGGAGAGGACATGTGGAACGATCAAGGCAATGTGCCACAGCCGTTCGTCTGCTAATCGTAATCTTTCATTGCAGCTGCTTGAGCGGGAGAGGCTCAGGTACCTGCCTTTGATTGCTTTGGTAAGTATGCGAGAGTGTGAGAGCAGAGTGGCTGTGCTGTTGCTGTTACTGATGTGAACAGGTGCCGCCTGGCTTTAGTGAGACCGCCGAGAGACGTCTGTTTGGACTGGGAGAGAAGGACAAGGTTGCCTATCCAGCAGAGTACCCGGACTGCCTCTTGATGGGCCCCAAGATCTCCCGCCGGTTGAATCAGTACGAGCGGAACCACCTGAGGCAGTTCCACGCTGACGTGATAGGTGTGCCAGTGAGGTCGAGAGAGATTGTTGGGAATCCAATGCTGTTCAGCGGCATATTCAAGCTCTGGGGTAGGGCAGTTGCGGGAAGAGTTTTGAGCAATAGCAGCGAGCATGAGGTGGTAGGATCGGCCATCTCCAACCCAAAGCCTGGTGTCTGTTCGTCCCGCAGGGATGACTCCTGTGTCAGGTACATATTGACCGGCGATGGGGACAACGATGTCTCATACTTTGGCAAAGTAATGTTCTTCATGCCGTACGAGATACACAATGACGAGAGGCTTGAGGACGAGCCAGAGCGTTTCATGATGGCCTACATCCAGCGGTTGGAGGTGGGGAGGGTGAGGAAGCTCAAGTTGGCATACATAATCAACAGACAACAACGGGTCCTCAAGGAGTTTGTTGATCTGTCCGATGTACAGGAACTGATAGGTTGCATCAAGTCGCGCGGGAAGGAGTTTTTGGTGTCAAGGACGTCGTGCTTCTGGCCAAAGAAGGGTTTTGCTTGGTGGGAAGTTATTGACAACGAGGCGCTTTTTATTGGCGCTAACGTGCAGTAATGCACACTATTAACTAACTAGATACTAGCCGACATTTCAAAGTCGTGGGCAAAGTCGTGGGCAAAGTCGTGGGTAATGTTGTTGGTAAAGTTGTAGGTAAAGTTGTTCTGTGGTTTGGGTTGTGCGGGGGGTGATGGCGAAGGGTTAACCTATCGTAGCTAATGTTGTAGGTAAAGTTGTAGCCAAAGTGGTCGGGAAAGCCGTTCCCGCACTAAAATAAATGTGGGAGGGGTCTCGGGCAATATTATTGGCAAAGGTGTCTGTAAAATTGTGTGTTTAATCGTAGGTTTAATCGTTCATGTTCAAACAAAACGGATTGCAAAGAAAGTTGTAAAGTTGTCAACAAAGATATTTGTAAAATCGTTGGCATAGTCGTCGTGTATAAAATTTGATCGCTGAGGAAAGTTGTTGACAAAATCATTAGTAAAATCGTTGTATGTAGTTTAGTTGTTTGCCTGTATACTTGTCGGGAAAGCCGTCGGTATAAATCGTTTGTAAAATCGTTGACCTGATGGTAAACAATCCTCTTGTTTCCAGGCTTAATCGTTGGTTCATGGATTGGTATAATCGTAGGGAATGTCGTTTAGCGGATAGACGATATGGTTAAAGCATCAATTTAATCGTTGGTATATTCGTTGGTTATTTCGTTTACAGAATCTTATGTTTGGCTAAGTAATCACTAAAGTAGTTGGCGATGTAGTCAAGCAACTCGTTGACAGGAGGCCTGCGATTTGCAAAAGTGTTGGTAAACTCGTTGGCAAAGTCATAGGCAATATTGTTCCAACTATTGTGTGGTTTGGCTTTAATGTCAGTAAACTCGTTGTCAAAGACGTAAGCAATATCGTTCCATGTACTGTGCAGATTGGCTAAGTAATCACCAAACTCGTTGGCAAAGACATAGGCAATATTGTTCCCGGAACTGTGCGGTATGGCTTTAGTGTCAGTCAAGTCGTAGGCAATGTCGTTCCATGTACTGTGTGGTTTTGCTTTGGTGTCAGTAATCTCGTTGGTAAGGTCATAGGCGATGTTGTTCTGGGTACTGTGCGGTCTCGTAAAATCGTCGGTGATGTAATCAACTATTTCGTTCAATGTGGGGCCGGCGAGATGCAAACTCGTAGGCAATGTCGTTCCAGCTGTTCGTACTCCTTGGTTAAGGCATCGGCAAAGTCATTGGTAAACTCGTTCTTTCAAGTGCTGTGTTGTATGGCTTAATCGTCACTATCGTCGTATGTGTAATTGTTCCAGCTACTCGTGCTGTATGGTTAAAGCATCGGTATAGTCATCGGTAAAATCGTTCACAGAATACATGTGTGCTTTGGTGCTACAGCCTAACCGCACATGTAGCCATAGATATAATCTTAGATGTTACTACTACTATCATCATTATTATTATTATTATTATTATTATTATACAGAGTGGGCAATGAATGTCGTTAGCAATGTCGTTCCATTGGGGGCTTGGCAAAAGGAGACTGCGATGCATTATGGATGCATTATGCGATGCATTTTCGGATGCAATAGCCACCCGCTTACGGTGTGTTGCACGGACATGACGCGTAACGTAGCAGCACGATGCATTATGGATACATTATGCGATGCATTTCTTGGGGTGGTAGAGATAGTAAGGTAAATAACCTAAATTAGGTCCGCTTGCCCCTATGACCATGTCCACAAGAGGCGGAGAAATCTACTAGTGGTGGTCCATATATACATGTATGTATACACCCTCGCTCCCCACACACATATCTCACTATATACTGTCTGGACCATAATAATTCGAGCCCGAGCTCAATGAGCTAAAAGTTTGAGCTTAAAAAATAGAGGTGGCTTGGCTCATAAACAATAATATATCTTTATATATCTAATATACTTGTATACATACATGTATATATAAGAGTATATGATGTCGGGAAAAGTATTTCAGTAACCCTAATCCCACACCCAACGCCCTTATAGGCTCGAAAACACCGGAGTGGTAGTTACCCTTCGGACTGATTATTAGATTTTGTACCCTTCTATAGGACTAATATTGCTGAATACTACTTGTATTGCTGCTGCTGCTGTTGCTGCTTCATTGCAATTGTTTGATTATAATTCTGGTTATGGTTATTAATCATTATTATTATTATGCCAGAATCATAATCGAGCTTTTGGCGGGGTTTCTTATAGACCTCTATAAGAAAGTTGGGAACTTGAGATTAGACTCCACTAAAATATCGAGTGAGAAGCAGTGATTGCTCGTGTATGTATGTACAGCGAACGCTTGCTATAACGGTACTTTCTATAAGGGTAATCTCTCTATAACGGTAGCATTTCTCGGTCCTTTTTGCCTGGCTTTCAGCACCAGCACCTCCTATATAAGGGTAATCTCTCTATAACGGTACCAAATTCCGGTCCCGAGCGTACCGTTATAGCAAGCTTTCGCTGTACTCACTCTAAACTGCCAAGAGATTGATTGATTGATAATTTATTAAATCTGCCAAGAGAAAAAAGAAGTATGATGGTGCTGTATTCACATGAGATGTCTAGGATTAGAATGGAATCACCAATAGAAGAAGGTAAATCTTTATCCTTTTTACTAGAATCACGTAATCGGTCACGCACTTATGCTGGCTGTGAATCATTTATTGCGCCGAAACTTATGAAGGTATCAGGATATCTAGCTGGGTGATCAACTGAGCAGGTATTACGCGAAGAGAAAGTTAATTAGCCAGATATATATTAGAGCCTGACGAGGATGCGGGGTATTTGATACAGATACATAAGAATATACGAGCGTCACGACGCAGAACGGAGACCCACCTGTAAGAATTTATGACTCTACTAAGCAGGATCATTTCTAATGGATGGTATTACCTATTACTCTTAATTACACTGTATTTGTTTTATAGTTTAGGGGTTGTATATCACAAGCAGGAAAGTGGGGCTTTGGTTCTTGTTCAATTCTCTGACATGAACTGGGACGGGGAGAAATCGGGAAAGAAATACGCGTAGCCGTGAATTTGCCTCTGTTTATGTCTAGAAGGTGATTGGTAAAAATCTTAGATGTTTAATGATAGATTGTCCTCGTGTAATTCACTTAATGCAATATCACGCAGGAGATATCATTTGGCACATGACTCTAAGCCTTTGGATGATATCTATTTCACCCGAATAACGTATCTAAAGTGTCAAACGCTTACTCACAGGTCTTTACCAGTTCATCTTGAGCTTTGACTCCATCTCAGCATGGAAACCAGGCAGTTCTTCGGTATTGTCGGTCCCTATGATGGGTGTTGGAGTTAGCTTTGCCGAAAGAGAAAGGCAGCTCAGTGGAACATTGATCGCTTGAGAATGGCAAAATGGGGTGATGCTTTATTTTATGCTTACCCTTGTAGACATCCTCCCATTCGATAGTTGTGTCCTTCCCCTTCAGAATATCGAGGTGGAAGTTGCTAGGTCCGCCCAGTTGAGCCGGTCTCCAGTCCTGTTCTCAGAAGTTTATTAGCATCCTTATCTTTTTACCCACCACTAGTCCATTATCTCATATTCAGATAATGGCCATCTAACCCCCCGCAAATTTCCAGGAAGCCCAAGGAGACTAACCGATCCGCTAATCTTCATCTCCATACCCCTCCTGATCGGCTCTTGCGCACCGTATACCCTCATCAGACTTTCCATCTTCAAAGCCTGCTGAGTTTCATCCCAGTTCTTCAGTCTAGCCTCCAGAGGATGCTTTCCGTTCACTTCGGCAGATACAGACTGCAATCCGTTCCTCATCGGGTCAGGGATTGAACGGACACTGGGAGCTCCATTTGTGGTAGAGATCTGAACGGCATGCTTTGGGGCAGGGATTATGCGAAGAGACTATACTACTATTAGCTCGCGTGATATAAGAGGAGCATGACGGAAAGGGGTTTAATACCATTTTATTACTGTTTGTGGTGCAGAATTTAGAGATGGAGGGGTGATGTTGAAGTTGTGGGGAGTCTTAGACGAGGATAACGATAGCTGGCGCAGCTTGTTGCCAAGTCCAAGTCGAGCCATCTTATCTGATAAGATCTAGTTAAGCACAGAATATGTAGGTACATATCCACCACAAGGATTTAAAAGTTAAATAACCATCTTAAGCTATATAGTTCGGTGCTAAATCAGAGAAGGGTGTTTTAAAAAGGCTTCGGGCCCCGGACAACGGCATGTACTCTATTTGGTAGAATATTGTAGATGCTTGTCTGGCTGGACTGATCATGGCCAGCAGGAAGGAACAGGGAATTCGAAGTCTACAATCATCCTAGTTGAGGTTTCCAACTGAAGCACTTCGGTGTCCCCTACCGGCGCCACCGGTAATGAAGAGCCGTACATGATCCAATCAGGGGTCGGCCCAGATTGAAACGCGGCTATAACGACAAACCCCAGCCACAGGTACCCCTCAACCCATGAGTGATGGGATATGATTAAATCCGTTTGTTCAAGCTCGTCTATATACATGTGTGTGTAGTTGTAGTATGGTATTATTACATGGAGAACAAGTACCAGGATGAGGCATGGAAAAAGAAAAGAAAAACAAATTTATGGCAATAGCTAGCAGCGCATCCCGCAGGCTGAGAAACCGTTAAGGAGCTTGAAACCAAGCTAGAGTGCGCCAGAGAGATTATTCGTAAACAAATAGAAGGCGCGCGCGTGTATAAACCTACGCAACGGCTTTCTATTAATCTGGTTTAATATGTTATATACGTGCGTATGTGGTGATCGCTCGTAGACCTTATGTATGTCAAGAAGATACTTAAACCCTGGACAAGCCAAATTACATGTAGTGTCACATGCCTCAACAACGTGCTCCACTCGACATAGATATTCGGCTTTCGAGCTATGTTAGGAAGAGATGCTTTCTGCTACTAGGCACGGGGATGGCGGGGAGAGGGGGAGATGTCCCGCAGATATAGAAGTGTACTCATGGACCAAACTATAGCTCTATAATATCAATAGTTATATTATAATTATTTTGAAGAGTTAAAACATCCTTGCTTAAGATCTTGTGCACAGGGACGCTGATCAAAAGGAAATTCAATTTCGAGTTAAGGAGAGTAAGACCAGGAATTCGAAACCTGGGCCGGCTTTCACTTGGATCAAACCCTAACTTCAACCATCTTCATCTGCACAAGATAATTAATATTATAGATTATGATGTACGTATTGTTCTTTGATGGCTATTTGTATTGTATGTATGGTATTAAGACCTTTTGATGTCTATTATTATTGATGTATACATGTATTCGACTTGCGAGCAGATATGTGGCTTATTGACATGACGTCTATACCTTCAGTACGTACAAAACTATCTTTAAAATACTCCGTACCTTCCTTCTTCCACTTGTTTTAATTAATCTTATGCCATTAAAGCACCTAAATACTGACATGTGCATGTATACATAGGTATATTACTACAGTACCATTACACCGGATTTGAAGCCAAAATCCACGAGTTAATGTATAGCCCCCCTCTATTTCATGAACTAGGGATAGTATCGAACTACATGTAGGTTTAATCTACTTTGAACTTATCTAGTGACCACCTACTACATCTAGAACCACCTTGCCCCCCCCAAAACGCATGGACCGTCAACAGAAGGACTGACTAGGATAGAGTATTGGACCTCTGACCGAATCTCATGGGCGAGACAAGGTCAATTTTCAAGCCAGGATCAGCCTATTCGATGCGCTGGTGACCGAAAGGCCCAGCTACTGGACCAGTCACAGCCGTAGGGAAAAGTTAATTTACATCCTGGATGCATAAAAAAAAAGGTGTCTGTATTGATCCCAGAATCACGGCGCTATCGGTACCATCGCAACCTAGGGCCTGCTTGAGGGCACAAGACGCTCACTAATGATTTGTTTAACCAGAACTCATGAGAAATATCTATTAAATGCGAAATATTTAAAGAGGACGGATTGCCCTTCATGTCTTATATCAAATCACTAGAAATCAGCAGAAGAACCTCTCGAAACACATACTAGACTCGATATACAATATTGGATTTTTGGCAATGAAGTTCTCTACAGCTTCTATCAGCGTTATTATATCCGCAGTTGTTGCAGACGCAGCTTATACAGTTCTCCAGGAGAGCTACACTCCGGCCAATTTTTTCTCCAAGTTTGACTTTTACACTGTGGGTATTTCCGATATCATATATAGACATTAATAAGTTGCTCGACTTTGTGATAAGAGACTGACATATAATTTCGCTTCATTAGGGCGCCGATCCTACAAATGGCTTTGTCAAATATATCGACCAGGCCAGCGCCCAGTCCCAAGGTATTATCAAAACGAACACCGACAATGTCTATGTTGGTGTCGATTATACAAATAGCGCACCAAATGGACGGAATAGTGTAAGACTAGAAAGCAAGGCCAGGTTCCAGCGTGGTCTTATTGTTTTGGATCTTGCACACATGCCTGGTAGTATCTGTGGAACATGGCCAGCATTGTGAGTAGAATTTGCGATGGAATTGTACTTGAAAATAAAACATATTACTGACGAGTCTTCTTTTCGTAGCTGGACCCTTGGTGATAACTGGCCGAACAATGGGGAGATTGACATCATCGAAGGTGTAAATTTAAACACCCAAAATGCAATGGCACTTCATACCAGCGATGGCTGTTCTATCAACGGAAGCGGGCAGTCTGGAACTTTGATTTCAAATAATTGTTACGTCTACGCCGCGAACCAGTCTACCAACCAAGGCTGTGGTATTCAGGTAAGCTATTCTACTTAATATTTGTATTTCTTTATGTACTAACCGCTATCTTGGATAGGATACTCGTACCTCATCTTATGGAACTGGATTCAACAATATTGGTGGTGGTGTTTACGCTACTGAATGGAACTCGGATTTTATTAAGATTTGGTTTTTTCCACGCAATGCCATCCCGGCCAACGTTTTGAGTACAACTCCAGAACCCACCGGTTGGGGAACACCTGTTGCCGTCTTTCAAGGTTCATGCGATATTAATTCCAAGTTCATTTCCCACAAGATTATTTTTGACATAACCTTCTGTGGAGATTGGGCTGGCAATGTTTGGGGTAGCTCAGGATGGTAAGTTCGATATCTTCCTATCAGCCAATTATTTGATTTCGAACTGACAATGAGTTTAAGTCCCACATCAATGACATGCAACGATTATGTCGCTAACACTCCGGCTGCCTTTACTCAAACATATTGGCAAATAAACAGTTTGAAGGTTTATAGCTCCTAGTGTGGCTCTGAAGTTGCTATGAGGTCTGGATCCGAGCATTGATGGCTCAAAGGTCAAATTTCATTTGTTTGTTTGTTTATATTTTTTTTGAACTCTAAGCCGATTTTATGTATTTCTACTAGATTATATATGCACGAATTGAATTCGAATATCCATTCTCGTCATAACTGAAATGTAACCATCTAGACATGGTTTGATCATGTACATGTACCCACATGTACTCCCAGTTACAATTGGACCGGACTGCTTTTAAACCCTAAACCATATACCATGTAGCTTAAGACCCAAGCCTATACCACTAACTCTGTATAAAGCGATGACAGCTGCAGATGCCGAAAATATGGTCCTTGTAAATGTCCCTGCTGTTTGGGCATGCAATTAATGAATTAAACAAAAAAAAATCCCTGCTGTTTGTTACAGCCGAAAAAAGCATGTAGTACATACATGTACGTACTTGCATGTGTAAACAAGCTAGGCTAGCTCTTGGCACTATTGATTATGGGCGTTTGGGAATTAAGGGCCTAAACTTAGAGGTTAACAGGGGTAAACTCAGTATAACTTATATACATATTACTGAAAACGCCGTTGAGGAAAGTTGACATGTATATATATATATATTTGGCATGCCACTTAAGCTTTTCAATGCGGTTTTGAGATCGAGAGATTTGAAGAGCTATGTACATAGTACCTTTCCACGCCTAGGATGCAGTTTGATGTCGAGTACATATTGCAATTATTAGGAAGCGGAATTCGCGAATCAACGGAGGAAACATATATATAGCTAAAAGGCGAGCGGGATCATAACGTGATCGAAAGAGATAATTAATTGTAGTATAGATTCTCGAATTATAGGCATCGCGATCGGTTTATTGCTCGAGTTATTCACGTTTACATCAGCCCGTCGAGAAGGATAATTAAATTTCGTAAACCCAGTGCAACACACATCTCTACCAAATCACCATGGAAACGGTACTTTACACATTTGTATTTGGCAGACCTTTGTCCGTTGATACTTAATTAACGTAGTTTCTGTACTGTTCTTCCTTCGGATGGGCCCTTAGGCGTTGTGTAACCTTAAATTGAGAACGTGCATATATGCCCTTTATGTATGTACTTAATTAGGTTATTATCGTTTATATAAATTGCATATTGTACCTGCGTATATAGACATATGTGCATACATGCATATGCGCACGTATAGGAATGTTCAGATTGTGTGGTTCGTCATACCTTATAAGCTATACTTGTATTATCAGTAGCTTTGCAATTTGGATCTTCGTACGATATCTTCAATGTTCTGAAAGTTTTATATATATAACGACCCGGTCATATATGATCATTGTACTACACTGCGCCATTTCTGCATGTATATATATGTAGGTCAACATATAATGACCCATGCATTAACCCCACAGGACCTCATGATATATCAGGTAAAAGAGAAAGATGTGTATTGGTGGCCAACAGAGCAAGTTTATATATTTACAGGTATGTAATGCATGGCCACATACTCGGTCTGTAGTGGTTGTATTGATCACCCTGCCTGGCCTGATCATGATCATGACGAGGTTTCATGGGCCACCAATGTAGACCGGCGGTATTCCAAGGAACTGGGTCCTGTTTAGTCTGTGCCCGGCCGGCCTGTCATACATGAATGTTTTTTTACAGCCCTTATAAACCTTTTCTCTGTTTTAACATGTGTTAGAAGAATAGCCGGGATAGTGGCATATAATAGGTACATGTATGGGTTGTTCCTTGGTAATAGTGGTAGGGACGTCGCGTCTAGCTCGTTGTTGGTCAAACTATCCCAGGTGTTTTTTTTTAAAAAAAAAAAAATCATGTTCAATTTGATTCTGGGTACAAATGATCGCATTTTACAAGCAGGCAAGGTATATAAATTCACTCATAGTCGACTATGATCGATCATGTGAATGAGTAAAATTGTTTGACTATAATATATCTACCTAAAACCATTCGCATCTGGAACGAGTATTAGCTGAGGACATGTACATGCTCGAAGAACTGGCCTGGCCGGCCTAATATCAGTACATGTACTATAATACTATAATATACTTGAGCACTACATGTATAATACTATATGTACTTAAACACAACATGTATCTTTACTAAACTATTGTAGGTGAAAGCCATGCAAGCCTTCTTACAATACCTACATGTACATGTACATACATATGCCAGTGGCTGGTTTAATTAACGACGTGTAGGTAACATATATGTAGTACCTACATAAATGTTTCGGTATGAAACATCAGTCGGCCGCGGCCGGTCAGCTGGTTCATGAGTACATGTAGTAAATTAAAACGCTCGTACATTATAGTTTATATATACTAATTACTCTAGTAGGAGTGGAAGTGCATCAATTTTGACGTTTCCCATACAAAAAGTTGCGAGATACACATTACTTGATGCAATAACCGCATTACTTTGTGTTAAAGGCATTCATGTCCCATTACCGACACTTTACCGACACCTTTACTGATGTATTTACTTGTTAAAGGCATGTTAAAGGCAATAAAATACGACTTTACTGACTGTTTCCGGGGTTTCCTGTTTTCCGCTGGAAAATTAATGTTTTCTAATGAAGCCTATCCTCTAGATCTCGAGATCGTTGAGTCCCCAAATAGAATATTTCGATGGGGTCATCAAATGGTATCTGGCATCAATGGACTTGTCAGTTGGGGAATACAATTTCATTTTGGTGGATCCATTGTTTGGCATATACATGTAGGCAATTCTGGCTGGATGGTCCTGGTATAATCGTAGGATGCCCGATGATGAATCGTTTCATTGGCGATGGCCTTCGTCAATCATGTGAAGCATCACCGGTGGCCAAAACTTATCCCCCCCTCTGTATACGCCCAAAATGAGTGACAGAAGCGTGGCAGGTAAAGGTGTCAGTAAAGTCGTCGGTAATATCATTAAAAAGACGTCTGTAAAGTCATCCAATTTCCCTTAAAACGACTTTCCCTCTACCAAAATATTGACATTACCCACGTAAATCAAAGCTCGAAAAACGACTTTACCGACAACTTTACTGAATATTCTAGGTACACATTTCCACTCCCCCTAGAGTTAGTTAAAGCTAGGATAAATTCAAGAGGCATATATATTCCATCCAAGCCCTAACGAGTACTGCAGAGATTGGGTATCTTTACTTATCTTTATCTTTTTATTCATGATCAGAGAACAGAAATATTTTATGGCTTCTGTTCAAAGTTGTGCAATTTATCCCTAGATATGGGCAAAGACTCAAATATTGTGCCCAAATTGCTGTTAAGTTAATACCTAGATTGCGCAACATTTCTATATCGTCGGAAAAAAGCAGTTACTTTCCGAGTAATTAAAACAAAATATAGCCTGAAAGTACCGGTATGTAAATCTACATTGTGGAAACGAGAAGATACCTATCAATATGCCGAGTGAGATATTGTGATTGGGTCACAGGTCATGTCCCGCTTAATCATAAAATGTGTCTCTACATGTGCCGCAAAACTCGAAAAGTTGGCCATCTCCGGCCAGGGATTATCTCCTTGACGATTGGTTGAAGGGTGTAGATCAGGTCCACTTATAGTAGTTTTGATCTCATTATATGCACAGCCAATTTTTCGAGTTATAGCGGTGTTAGTCGTGAGTCGGCTATAGGCGGTCTGTATGTAGCTACATGTATGTTTACTAATCAGACGGTACATGTCTTCAGTCGAATACCTTAAGTCCTCGCAACATGCATGTAATAAACTTAAGATCATCATATCATATTATCATATATGATCGAACTTCTAGTTTTGCCAGAATTAAATAAATTATTCGTCTAGTCTCGCTACGGAATCCAGATACCCTGATTGTGCCCGTCTCAAGTACAGGATCCTGATTGGTTTTTTGCGGGTTTAAGAGTACATGTATACATGTAAGTAAATGTATGTATATACTGTCGGCCGAGAAAATTACCAGTAAAGCTGTATACATGTATGAATCCAGATAGGTACATTTAGTATTGCAATATTGGTTTGTACAACAATAATATTGTGGTCTATACATGGCATATAGCGGCAGATTATATATATATACAGGGCTTATAAAAACCTAGCTGGCAAATGGCCTCATAGCCCGCTCGGTTATATCTCCTCACGCCGATGACTAGCTATATAACCTAGAAGAAAATATTCGCTCGCCGAAAAGGGTCTCTATTATATGCCTGGTACACAAGGGTACTTTATTAGACTTAAGTTTTTATGAAAGCTAGTGGGAAATTAAAGATCTGAGTGAACCCCGCAAAAATTCAATACCAAGGCACCACCGTGCTCTGACTTTGATCCCCGGGGACCTTAATTAACAAGCATTAGCTTAGCCATCATGCAGGTCCGTAACGTGATAACACTAATACCGATCCCGTTTTTTATAGGTCATATGGACCTTTCCCCTCATTTTCAATATCCCTGGTGTATTCAGGTACGGACCGACATCCGGTTAATCTTTACCAGGTGATTTCCGCAGGGAATGTAGTGATACATGTGTACCTACATGATTGCAGTGTGCCTACCTACTCGGAAGTGCAGCCAAAAGAGCAGTGTACAACAGCGGTCGTCTCCAATATGTCGGACCGTTCATCAAATGCTCCACATTCATCTGCTTGAACAAAGATAGCATATATAGTAACCATGCACATGGAAGCCGCGGCAATAGCGGCCAGTCAGATGAGATTCCCCAGTGACTTCGATCACACTTGAGAAAAGATGTGGCCCCAGAGAGAGCGTAACACCATACATGCGAGTTACTCCGAAGAAACTCCGAAGAAATTCAGATGAGGGGGACTTGCCTGCCTCTTGTGAGACTCGCTCATCCTAACACGCTAGTAAAAATTCTTAAGATCAATATAATATCTGCAACCTGTGGCCTTATCTCCCACAGATCTGGCATATAACTCCTTAGTATATATATGAGACATTCTTGTATCCCGAAATTTTCAGGAATCCCCAACGTAC